GGACTCGGGGGAGAAAAGGCCCCGAACCCTTAGCAGGGTTTTTATAGGGGATACAAGCAGGTTTGGTTGTCCTCAGTTTAGCTACTCTAGGATTGGTTTACATTTTGCAAGGTATGGGGTGTTACAATCTGATTGGTCACTATTAGTAGCTTGAGCTGCTAGGTTAGCGTAAAGGAAGACATAATATTATCCAGCCTTGAGTTGTCGGCAAAGTTTATCTATTCTTTACTGCTTGCTAGGGGAGGAAGGCTGCTCTCATGCAGCACAAGCTGACGTGGCGCATTCCTGAAACAGAGAGATGTCCTCCGGCCAAAGTATAAAATGGAGTCTTGTCTTTAGGTCTCACACTAGGTTCTATTAATAACACCATCCATTTGCCCAGTTATTCAGGTTCAAGAATTTAGGAGTAATCGTCAAATTATCTTCTCGGTATATGCAACTTTTGATCAAGTTGTATAGTTACTTTGTCCTCACTGCTTTCACCCTCAATACCTAGAACACCCCAATAGTTTCCGGTGCTCATCCTCCTAAGCCCTGTCTCAGCCATCCCAATGCATTATTCACTCATTAAATGTGGATTATGTTACATATGGGCTAGCTAGGTGCTAAGGTGGTTGTTGTTAAGTGTCATCGAGTCAGCTCTAACAGCGACCCTGCATAGTTTCCAAGGAGTGCCTGGTGGATTTGAACCAGCAACATAATGGTTAGCAGTCCAGAGCTGATCCTACAGCGCCACACCGACACTCCCAGGTGCTAATGTTACAATGGTGAATATATCTTAAGAGAGTCCCTGTTCTCTCAGAGGTTATCCTCAAAGAGGGAAAAGCCAATAAATGGCAAAAAGCTTTCAATGTTTTGGGGAAGAGGGACAACCCAAGCTAGAATTTTCCAGAAGTTAAGCAGATCTCAGAAGGATGAAAAGATTCATTGAAGGGTGGAAGGTGGAGATACAAGAAAGTGCAAGGAAGCATGGGTGGCGGGGAAAGTAATTAAAAACAATTTAAAATGTATATATTTTTTATTTTTATTCCCTAGATCTTATATTTTAATTGTTTAATCAATTATACTATTTTTATAAGTCATAAACCATATTTTCAATGCTTCTCATATATATAAATTATTGTAACTACTTTCCCTGCCACCCAAGTTTACTGACAGTGTCTTACACCTCTACCTCCCACCCATAAAGAAAGGTACTCATCCTGATTTTGGCTTAAAGTTACTTCCGGTGTGGTACTAAAGGATAAGCACTGGACCAAAAGGTTGGTTTGAAACGCAAGGCCAGTGGTTCAAGCCCACCAGCCATTCCTCAAAAACTATTCAAAGTCGCTATGAGTCAGAACCAACTCAATGGCACTCAACAATAACACCTGTATGGGGTTTCCAAGGCTTTAAGTCTTCATGGGAACAGAAAGCCTCATCTTTCTTCCAAGGAGTAGCTGGTGGGCTTGAACCATGGACCTTGTGGTTAGCAGTCCAGTGCTTACCATAGGGAGCCACCCCACCCCACCTATGTTGTTGTTGAGTGCTGTCGAGTAGGTTCCGACCCAGAGCGACCCTATATAGGGTTTCCAAGGAGTGGCTGGTGAATTTGAACTGCCAACCTTGTAGTTCAAATCAGCATTGCGACCCAGTGCTTCATCCCACAGTGCCACGCCAGGACTTCAAAGAATGGTCTATATGGCGCAAAATTGGAGGTGGGAAGACAAAAGTTAGTCTGTTGCACGACGTCAAGAGATGGAGTGGCTGGGGACTTGGGATCCGGAGAGGGAAAGGGGCTGAGGACTGTGGTGGGAGGGTGCAGGTTTACAGGGTACACCCTTTGGTTGGGTGAGGGTGCATGGACGGGATGGTAACTATGCCAATGAAACGATAGATGATGGAATGAATGTAAAACTAATGTTCTCCCATGTAGACTATCACACAATTCACAATAAAACATTTATTAAACAAACAAACAAACAAAAAACGTTAGTCTTTTGCAGTAACGAAGGCAAAAAACAAAACGGAAAAGGAAAAATGAAGATAATCTTACAGGGTGGCATGGAAAAGAATTATATAAATGCATGAGATGCATACAAGGTATAGCCAAGACTTTGTAATTGACTATATATGAGGGTGCTGTAGGATAAGCATTGGACTGGTAACTGCAAGGACAGCAGTTCAAACCCACTAGTCGCTCACAGAAATCCTGTACAGGGTCGCTATGGGTCAGAATCAACTCGACAGCACTTAACAACAAAAATAAATGGGGAATGAGGAGGTAAGAATTAGGGATGACTCTCAAATTCTGACCTAGGCAAGTAGACAGTAGAAAGAAAGAAAACACAGGAAGAGGAGGTTTGAGAGGAAGATGAGTTAACGAAGGGAAGTTGTGTGTGAGGTCCTTGTAGGGCTCCTAAGTAGACAAAGTCCTTCAGACAGTTGGATATATAAGTCTAAAAATGCGAGGTTTAAAAATGATTCATTTTCTACTGATGGATAACAATTTACCCCAAATGTTGTTGCTGTTAAGTGCCGTCGAGTCGGTTCCGACCCATAGCTACCCTGTACAGAGTTTCCGAAGCTGTAAATCTTTACGGGAGCAGAAAGCCTCATCTTTCTCCAGCGGAGCAACTGGTAGTTTCGAACTGCTGATATTAAGGTTCACAGCCTGATTCATAACCACTACACTACCAGAGCTCTCCATTTACCCCAAATAGCAAACACTTACTACCCTAATATGTGTATGAGTCAGGATCTGGGAGCCATGGAGCTGGATGATTCTAGCTCCCGGCTTTCAGGAGGCAGCAGTCATCTGAAGGTTAGACTGGGGGAGTAGCCACTTCCAGTCACTCGGGTGGTGGCCAGTTTCCTGGCCACACAGGCCTCTCCACAATGTAGAGAACACTCCACATGAGTGTCTTCTGCAACACTGTAGCTGGCTTCCCTGCAAGCAAGTGATTTGAGACAGGGGAGAAAGGAGAAAAGGGAGGGAAAAGCAGAGAAGGTGGAAACTGCAGTCTTGGAAGTGGCATGTCATTACCCATTACCCATCACTTCCGCTATGTTTCAGAGAAGAGGCAAGTCCTTAAGTCCAGCCCCCATTCCAGGAGAAGGGCCCTGAGTGCCAGAGCTTAGAGGCAGGACCTTCCAAGACACTGCAGACCTGTGAGAAAACTTCACAACTGCACTGCCCCCCATCACTCACTCCTAAAACCCAACTGCACCTCGCCTTCTTTCCTTCCCTACCACCAGCTCACACACCTGTCTCGGGACTCGGAGCCTCTGTTAAGGGTGATGGAGACACGCAGGAATGCTTACTGGTGATGACTGAACAATGGCAGTTCGGTTTTAAATTATTTATAATATTTCTATTTTAACTGACCACCTTTTTTTTAATATAATGTCACTGAGCTGCACATGTGAAGATGGCTGCAATGGCCATTCTTTTGTTATCGATATCGTTTACCATAATAAAACACAAATGTTTGCAGCTCTATGATGCGTCCACAGCTTGGTATTGATTCCATTCCTTGACCCATCAGTCTAGCTTCGGCTCCCATCCCTCCCATGTGCATATTTGCGCCCTGGCCATTTACTGCTTCTAAACACCTCCTTCACCTGAATCCAGGCTGTTCCCGGGGCCACGAGTCCACCTTTGAAACTCAGCCAGGGGACAGGGCATCTGACAGTTCCCAGATGCTTTGTAGAATACTACAAAAAAGGGATATAGAACTAGCGTGTTGTTGTTGTTAAGTGCCGCATAGTCGGTTGAGACCCATAGCGACCCCGTTCTAGGGTTTCCAAGGAGCAACTGGTGAGCTTGAACCACCGACCTTGTAGATCAAACGGCTTTGCAGTCTGGTGCATTAACCCACAGCACCACACCAGGACTCCAAGAACTAACCGTTCAGAATTCTGTGCTAAATCGAATTTCATTTCATAACTGATACAATAATCGACCAATGGAAGTCTCGGTGTCAAAGATTTACAAGCCACGCTTCCAAAGGCGGTTAAAGAGCACGCCTCGATTCCAGATGGGCATCCATCCAGATGGACAGCTTTGTCCATCCCTTCTAGAAGATACCTCTGTTTTCAAGATTGACATGTTAAGTCTAGTACTCCTCTTCCTTCAACTCTCAAATACAACTCTTACTTGGCTAGTTAAACAAACAAACAAAAAACGCTGGCAGCATCTTCAATATCCCTAAATAAAGCGTGTCGTCTCTCTATATGTGGGCCATTAAAAAAATAAATTAATAATACGAGGGGGCGTCCAAAAACTAGAGAAATTCCATCATCTTTTCATCCATTGACTCTTTCCACGAAGCCCAACCGTTGGTTCGCAGGGGGCTGGCTGGGGACCACCTCCACGATATAACCAGAGGGAAAAGCATGGGGCCAGACTCAGGGAAAAACACACACAAACCAGGATGAAATTTAAGCCCACTGATGGAGAAAGAAAGTACAGTATCCATCTTCCCACCCCTGGTCCCGAATCCAGCACAAGTCTCTGCGGGCGATGACACGGGGACTGAGGACCTGAGGTCAGGAGACTTCCGACAGGATTCCGTTCCGCCCACACCTAAGCGGATCGGCTCTTACCTCCCGCCTTTGGGACATAAGCTTCTAAATCAGCTTTCAGGCCATCGCACCGCTTAGTGACTACGAGTCCGGAGCTCCTTCACCGAGTCGGGCAGACTCCTTTCCCGTCTCAACGTACTTTCTAGATATTGTTCGTGTCAGTGTGAGAGAAAGGTGGCGCCAGGTTCCTCCCCGCGCCACAAAGAAACCAGGAGTGAACGGAAAGAAGAGTCCCTAAAGCCGCTGGAGCAGTGTCAGCGCGCGCACACCCACCCCACCGCTAAGCGGCAACGCCCAAGGACTGAAATTCGCGCTTCTCCGGAAGTGACGCAAACGGTCCCGGTTGCCTTCCATCACTTCCGGCTGCGGAAAGACTCGCGCATGCGTCGAGTGAGTTAGTTGTTGGGTCCGTATGCACCTTTACACGAGGCGCAATGGAGGCCTCGGCTTCAGCCCCAACTTCAGCCCCAGCTTCAGCCGCAACTCCAGCAACCCCGGCCGCAAAGGATCCGCGGCTGGAGCTGAACAAAATACAGGTGAGATTGTTCGGAAGAGGGTGGCGTGGCTGTTGGGAGGCGCGGTGGTACCTGATGAGTGGTCTGAGGCCTAGCAAACCTCGGGGGACGGCTTGGGGGGCTGGGGAATCGCTCGCTCGCTCGCCCGCGATTTGCGCCTTAGCGTGCTCTTTGATTTATCCGTGCAGTGGCCTGGATCTCTTTAACTGAATTGCAAGTATAACGAGGTTTAGAGAGAGACACCTGGCAACGGTTTGCTCTTCTTAAAAGGGGCGCTTCGGCTGCTCTCCACTTTCCAAGATCAGACTAAGTGACGCAAGTAAAGCGACTTGAACCTGGGTCCTGGCGCGTGTTTAGCGCTCACTGAATACTAAATTGTAGTTTGTAGAAGAGGCATCTTTTTGTAGACGACTGCTGGAGGCAGATGGTTTTGGGATTTCTCTTATATTCTCATATTCTTTTGAATACAAATTGCCAGTTTCTAGTAAGAATGGTTGTGGGTGTTGCCTGTTAAAATCTAAAAACCAGGACAAGGACCAAATGTGAAGTTGGATTAAGATTTATTTTTTTGTGTCTCTGCTTTGCAGGTTAAAAAGGCAGTAAAAGCTCTGTTAGCACATTCAGAGTCCAGAAAAAATGCGAATGCAATGCTTTTGAATGAGAATGAAAATATGTTTTTAATGGTGGTGTTGTGGAAAATCCCAAAGAAAGAACTGCGGGCCAGACTGTAAGTTCCTCATGCTATTCGATCAGACTTAACAGAAATCTGTCTGTTTACCAAGGATGAACCCGACTTAACGCCTGAAAAGACAGAGCAGTTCTATAGGAATCTTTTGAACAAGCATAAAATTAAAACCGTTTCTCAGGTAAGGAGCCTGCTATTATTTTCAAGACAAAAGATGAATTCTGTTCAAGTGGTAAAGAATACATCCCTGCCTCTCTTCATGTTTCTCTGTTTTCATTGAACTTTTCATTTGAGTGAGTGTAGATTTATTGGTTCTTTTGGCAGCCCATGGCACTTTCAATATTCTCCTCCAACACCGTAACTCAAAAGCATCAATTCCAAATGCAAAATAAAAATCCAAGATGAAATAAATAGGCTAAGAATTCAAACATGTAAAGATTTGTAGAAATGTCATAAGCTTTCTGGGGGCTCCATAGCCAGTTACCCTAGCAGCTCTATTGAATCCAAAAAATTTTAGACAGAACAGACAATAAACAGCTTTTTATTTTAGTAGAATTAACTTTTCAAGGCAGGTTATTTCCAGGCTAAAATTCATGAGACCCTAATATAGGTAGGAGCCCTGGAGGCACTGTAGGATAAGCACTGAACTGCTAACCATAAGGTCAGCAGTTCAGATCCACCAGCCACTATACATGGTCACTATGAGTTGGAGCCACATCAATGACACTTAACAGCAACAACAGGTTCTGTGCAATATTTTGACCTATTATTACTAAAAAATGATTAATTGTATATATTTTTCTGTCAAGTCTCTCATAATCCTGACTGTGGCAGAAAGCCAGCTCTGCTTAAGAAAGTGTTGTGTAGAGAAACTTTCTTTTCCATAAAGGAGAAGGAGACGGGAATGATTAGAAATAGGAAGAACCCTTTTGTCACTGAGATTCTCTCTTAACGGGTACTCCCAGATCTGCTTTGGTCAGAGAATTGGATGCGTTGCTTTCTGCCTTCCATGTGTGTGCTTACACTCCTCAGTTTAGCTCAGGCAGGTTTGGGGAATGCTTTTGAGTTTGCTGAACTATTTCCTCTCAGAAGTCATGCTCTTCTGTGTTAACTGTCTTTTCATAAATGAAGGAACTTTCCTCAGCAAGAGTAGTAGGCCTAGCAACCAGTTCACTGCTTTATTTAAAACTCAACATAATCAATGCATGTTCGCTGATCCCCTCTGGTTTCCTGATGTTTGTTTCCCTTCTTAAAAGTTGTATTTGTGTTTGGCCCTGAATCAAGGCCAACAGTTTGATGGAGCTGTTGGTTTCAAACAGGAGCCTAAAGAAATGTCTTCCTATGGTCTGTTGGCCATTTCAGAACATTGGATATGTGTAATGGTCAATTCATTAGAAAGAAACATCTGAGTCATTGGCGATAGGTGTGGTGGTGCTACAGGATAATGGACGTTTGAACCACAAGGGTGGCTGTGTAAACCCACCAGCCACTTCTTAGAAACCCTATACAGGGTCTCTATGAGTCGTAACCAACTCCACAGCACTTAACAACAACAATACTAGGCTGGAGTCCTGGTGTGGTGATGTGGGCTAATGGCGCTGGCGTGCAAAGTTTGTTTGAACCTCAAGGTTGTTAAGTACAAATACGAATTTTTAATAGTCTATATTTGGTCCTAGTGTGGCGCTGTGAGTTAATGCACTGAACTTCAAAGACAGTTTAAACTGCAAGGTCGGCGGTTCAAGCTCACTAGCTGCTCCTCGGAAACCCTATACGGGGTCGCTATGGGTCAGAATCAACTCACCTGGCACTTAACAACAACAAAATAGTTAGCATACCAAAACGCAGGGATCCTGGATATGAAGTGTTCATTAGAATTAAAAAATTCTTTTAAGTCTAATGATTATTACGTTTTTGGAGCTAAGCGTTTTCCAGAAAGTGAATTTCTAAGTCAGAACTACATCCTAGTGAAACTAGGTTATTCCAGCACCTAGGTATGTGTATTGTTGTGTGCCATCAAGTTGATTCCACCTCTCTCCGCTGTGACAGAATAGAAGGACCCAGTGGGGGTTCCTAGGCTGATAACCAGAGCACCTCTCCAGGTCTTTTCTCCCACAGAGAAGGACCCAGTGGGGGTTCCTAGGCTGATAACCAGAGCACCTCTCCAGGTCTTTTCTCCCACAGAGTTGCTGATGGGTTTGAACGACCTTTCAGTTGACAGCGACCTTTCAGCTGACAGCGGAGCACATTGTACCACCAGGTTTCCTTACGCGTATCTGCCCTAGTCAGTGCATGGGAAAATTCCATTCTCTTTTAATGCCGTCTATCATGAACTTTTTGAAGCCCTTTTATATATAACAATGCTAATTACACACGCGATATTTTGGGCATCTTTGTTTACATTTTAATTCTTAAGGTCTTTTGACTTCTGGGTATTTATGGAGGTTTCCTTGAATTTTAAGTCTTTTGGTGTTATTTAAAACTAAATATATACTCTAAATGTTGTTTTTGGCACCCTAGCTGCTTAAATGGCATGAACGAAGATTATATCTGTTGTGAATTTCTCAGGCTATAAACAAACATTGTTCATAATGATGGGTTCTTTTATGGTTTGCAGGTCTTTGCCTCATGCTATTCGATCAGACTTAACAGAAATCTGTCTGTTTACCAAGGATGAACCCGACTTAACGCCTGAAAAGACAGAGCAGTTCTATAGGAATCTTTTGAACAAGCATAAAATTAAAACCGTTTCTCAGGTAAGGAGCCTGCTATTATTTTCAAGACAAAAGATGAATTCTGTTCAAGTGGTAAAGAATACATCCCTGCCTCTCTTCATGTTTCTCTGTTTTCATTGAACTTTTCATTTGAGTGAGTGTATTCTTTCCTGTGCTGGAGGAACTGTCATTTATGGCCATTGACCTGAAAGCCAAGTGTCACTAATAACTTGTCTTTCGTAGGTTATACAAAGACACTTCAAACAGTCCATGGAAAAATGGAACTGAAAGATAATGGCATTTTTCAATGGGCTTTTTGAAAACCCCTCATACAAAGGATGCTCCATTATGTCACCCTGTGCTTCCAGAGCACCCTGTGATCACCCTGATTTGTTGTTGGGGGAGCCCTGGTGGCACGGTCATTGAGTACGCCACTGCTAAACAAAAGGTTGGCAGTTTGAACCCAACACCCTCGCCACCAGCGAAAGAGTGGCAGTGTCTTCTATGAAGATGACAGCCTTGAAACCCCTCTGGGCAGTTCTCTGTCCTACAGGATTTCTGTGATTCACAATCGGCTCAGCAGCTATGGTTTTGGGGCAGTTAGTTCATCACTGTCCAGATGACAGTTTCTTTTGATGGGCCCATCTCGTCCATCTCAGTATCCCCAGAATTTCACCTAGTGCCTGGCACACGTGTTTATGCACATGCGATCAGTATGGCTCTAAACCAAAATACCAAACCCCTTGGTCATCAAGGTGATGGCGGCTCGCGGTGACGTCCTGTGCTGTAGGGTAGAACCATGCTCCATGGCGTTTTCAAGGCTGTGACCTTTGGGGAGCAGCCAGGCCTTTCTTCCAAGGTGCTGCAGAGTACCATTGATCTGTCGGTGGTGACACACTCACTATCTGCACCACCACAGAGCCCCAGATGTGGCCGGCGTGGCTCGGGGACTCTGTAACTAACTGCTGAATCAGGTAGAGCACAGACTGTTCCTGAACAGTCCTTCTCGCTCAGGTTCTTCACATTTTGCACTGTGCTCTTTTCCCTGTTTTCTAGATTATCTCCCTCCGAACTTTGAAACAGGAATATAAACCCTATGAAGCCAAGCTCCGCCTCTTGGGCAGTTTTGACTTCTTCCTGACTGATGCA